TGGTCTATGTACAATTCCATTAGCCACTCCTGGCCTATGTACAATGCTATTAGCCAATCCTGGCCTATGTACAATGCTATTAGCCAATCATGGTCTATGTACAATTCCATTAACCAATCCTGGTCTATGTATATTGCTATTAGCCAACCCTAGCTTATGTACAGTGCTATTAGCCAATCCTGGCCTATGTAAAATGCTATTGGCCAATTGTTTAGATAATGCATGCAAGGCTATTATTAGCCATTGCCAGGCCCTCTCTCCCTATACATATATACCACTTTTTGTGACAGGCCTAAGGCCCTTTGTAGTGTACACATGGCACATGCATAAAACCAGATCTGCTGGTATTTTCATTTGTAAAACTAGTTTAACAACAGAGAACAGTCTACAATACTTACATCAGGACATACACAAATTGGGCCGCTACGACCACTGTTACATATTCCTCCATTTAAACAGGGTTTGGATAAGCAGAAGTCAATCCTGGTTTCACAGTGTCGGCCCATGAAGCCTGGTTTGCATTCACAGCGATAATTGTTAATTAAATGAACACAATCCTGGACACCAGGGTTATTGCAAGGGTTTGAGAGGCATTCATTCACATCGCCTTCACACCTAAATGTAGCAAGTAATAAACAATATTAGTTAAGTTATCTTACACCTTCAAAAACTTCTATAAATCATAACTGTTTAATGAAATTCTAGTGAACAAGGTTATTTCCCCAATAAAAACCAGAGTTTTAAGCTCAAAACTAAGTTAAACCACAATTCTACTATTGCCTATGAAATATATTTTGGAGTTTAAACCAGAGTCTAACCTCAATCCTTTTAACTGTAAAAGACATGTTGAAGTTTAAACCTAAGAAAAAAAACACAATCTTCTAATAGTAAAACAAAAAAAAGGGAGGGGGGGGAGAAATCGCACCTTGGTCCAACAAACCCTGGTGGACACCGACATTCATAGCCTCCAACCTTATCAATACAAGATCCTCCATGATGACAGGCTCCCTCAAAGCACTCATTTACATTGTTTTCACACAGGATACCCAGAGTCCCATGAGGGCAGGAGCACACGAAGTTATTCACCTGGTCATGACATGTCCCCCCGTTGCGACAAGGGTTAGGATCGCAGTCATCTATATTGAACTCACAATTCAAACCTGCAAGTCAGAAACAAAAACATTCTATACTTTGGAGTTTAGGCTTTCAGAAAACATAGCATCACAGTTTTTACTACCAAATAAGGAAAAATTTACAAAACAAAATTAACCATTTGAAGCCAAAGCATCTCAAAACTGTCTTTCAAGAAAAGAAACTGCAAATTTATTACGCATACCAAAATTTCAAAGAAAAGATGCTATAGTAGCATTCACACCTCAAAGCAAGTGCACCTTAAAATACAATGTTAATACTTAAAACCAGCAGCAACACAGAGGAGGTAACTATCGAGAAAGCGTACGTTTGAACGTCTATGATAAAAGTATCACAAAAGAAAAGTTAACCTCTTACCTTTGAAACCAGGAAGACAATCACATCTGTACTGTCCAACCAAGTCACGGCAGATGGCACCATTCTGGCACGGTTGTGCCGCACATTCGTTGATTTTATGTTGACAATAACTCCCCTCGTATCCTTTCGAACAACTACAGCGATGGCTATTCCCAATGTTTTCACATGTTCCACCATTTTTACATAAATCCCTTACTTCAGTGCCTGAATCGACCAGAGTAAAAATTCTAATTCATTCAGGTAGAACACGTTCATATTATTTAAAGCAGTTATTGCAAAATTTTCTTATAAAAAAAACTGAAGATTGATAAACATGATAAATAACATCATATATATATATATATATACCTTTCTGGAGGGCAGCATCAGAACAAGACACCATTGACACATCACACAACGTTCCTGTCCAGCCAGGTCGACATATACACTTGTAAGTGTTTTTGTTCTGCTTACAAGTGGCTCCATTTAAGCACGGATTTGTGTTACACCAGTCAACTAAAGTCTGAAAAAATTAACCATTTTTTTCAAATACTCTTTAAAACACTCAACTTCAACGTGAGAAAAGTTAGTACTAAATATTATCTCAAACTTGTATTATTGATATATAATATCTGTCAGACTATTACACAGTTTCAAACTTTTTTTTTACATTAAGACTATGACTATTCATAGTCTTAATAAAAACAGCAAAAGTTCAAACTGTGTAATAGTCTGACAGATACTATTTTTCCTTAAAAAAGTCAATACTGCTGTTTTGGATTAAGATATTATTTATATTAATAAAAAAGAAACAATTATTAATTACTTGGTCGAGTCTGTGGCTATGGCTAAAACATTGTAAAATAGAACAAGTTATCAAAATGTTATTCCAAACTAACTCTTAAAGATTTTCACTTTAACATGTTTTTTAGTTGACCGAAACCAACAGGAGACTTGTTGTAATAGATTTCAAAGAATAATATCGTTATAAAAGATAAATTCATACTGTAACTACTATTTTCATACTGACTGAAAATGGAAATTCAAGAACTAAAATAGCTCCCGGTGATAATCACCTACTCACAGAATACAGTTATATTTCTTTAAAATGATTAAAACCCTATAACCGAGGCACAATCGATAGAAAATACTCGAGTTATAGGGTTATAATCATTTTATATTAAGACTTCTTAAACCTATGTGTTTTTCTGACATGTTTTGTTCAGGTAAATAGAGTAAGTTCCAAGTTAGTTAGTTGAATCTGTAGATTACGACAACTTGACTGGATATTTGTTTGAAGAACATGAAACTACAAGTTTAATCTATCAGTTATTTTCAACGCAGATTGATTAACTAGTATATTCAAAACAAGACTCAATTTCTTTTTCTACCTCACACCGAAGCCCAGTGTAACCAAAAGGACAGTGACACGTGTAGTTTCCCACATGATGAACACATGTTGCTCTATTTTTGCAGGGACTAGAATCACATTCGTTGATTTCGAACTGGCAGTTGGATCCTGTGTATCCCTTAGCACACTCACAGATATAGGTATTAATTCCATCTTGGCAAGATCCGCCATTCATA